GCCCATGAGATTTTAAGATTTTCATTACCTGCTCGATCAGGTCGGTCTGATCTTGGTGAGCCTTGGCCAAATCGGCTCGGAAGTCCTTGATCTCTTCTTCTTTTTGCCCACAAAGAAGTTTAAGGGCATTTCTCTCCTCCGTGAGCCCTCGTAGGTCGGCTTCATACCGACTCAGCTCAGCTCGAGACCGAGAAAATGCTTCCCGATGAAGCGCTGAGGCCTACGCATAAAGAAGAAAAGAAGTCAGATAGGAAGAGAAAAATTAACACAAGGGTAATACCAACATGGGGAGTTAAGGCTTACCCGATTTAGAGCTTGTTGCGCTTCGTTGAAAAGGCTCGATGCCTCGCCCCGATCCTTCCTCGAGACATCGCTCAGGGGCCAGTAGCATCTTCGACCCCAGTAAAATAATCACGGAAGGGATCTTCCTTTCCATGTCCTCCTTCGATGGAGAGGGTCTTCAAGGCCCGAGCCTCTTGAATCATCTCCTTAGAAAACGAGGGGAGCAGCGGGGAGCCTTTAATTTCTATTGCCCCAAGTGGATCACTTGGGGCGTTCTCTCCATCTCGGGGGGGCTCGAGATCAGCCCCTGCAGCTGTACCCTCCATTGGCTCATTATGGTGGGAGGAATCCTCAATCCTCGATGACTCTGGGACTTCTCCCAAGTCTCTTCCCGAGACTCCCTTATCTCGAGATAGAGTCTCTGCAACCTTCACTGATTCAGTAGCCTTTGGGGCCTCGATGCTCATTTTCACTCGGGCCACCAGCCCAGAGTCGTCTTTTCCCTTTTCTTCGTCTTCATCCCTTAGACGCCGAACAGAGTCATCGGTCAGGAGGAGGATGTTCTTCATCAGCTTACGAGCCGCCTTCTTCTTAGGTTCTGGATCCTCAGAGGTTGAGATCTTTTTCCTGTTTTTGTACTTCACCGGTTTCGGTGTCGGGATCGAAGTCTCCTCCTCACCAAATAGTAGCCTCACAACAGCATCTTTGTCAAGGCCTGTATGAAAAGAAAATAAGTAAGAAATACTTTAACAAAGTCATCAAAGACGTGGGAAAGAGGCTTACCATGAGTTTTGGCCTCCCATCGGCCCTTTGATAAATCGTTCCACAAGCGCTCGGCATACGTAAAGGTCGAGGCCAAGTCCCGAACCCATCTCTTGAGGTTAGGAATTGCACCGGGCATCCAAGAAACTGCTACATCATGAAAAAGGATATCGATGAGAAATAAATAAAGGAGCAAAACAATAAATAGGATCTAACAATGGGATTATACTTACGCTTCATATTTAATTTCTCGGGAAATGGCATCTTTTCGGCCAGGATTAGGTCGGAAGTCCTCACTCGAACGAACTAGCCCATCCAGCCTCGGTCCTTATCCTCGTCTATGCTCGAAAACAATACTTTGGTAGCCCGGCGTTGGAGTTTTATTAACCCGCTTCGATAGAGGCGGAGGCTCTACAACCTGATGAGGTGGTCGAGGGTAAAAGGCATCCCCTCGACTTTGCTCACGAAGAATCGGAGCAGAATAACAATTTGCAAAAAGGAAGGATGGATTTGGCCTAGGGTTACTTGATACTGACGGTAAAAATCAACGACAACGGAGTCGAGGGGGGCCAGCGTGAAAGGGTAAGTATAAACACTTAAAAACCCTTCCACATGTGTAGTGATATCTTCTTCGGGAGTCGGGATCACCACTTCTTTGCTCTCCCAGTTGCAATCTTTTCTTACCTGCTTAAGGTATCCCTCAGTTATCGAGCATATATACCTCGATACTAGCTCGCATCGACCGGGAACCGACGAGGCTTTATCGGTCTTAAAATCAGAAGTAAGGACACACCCACCGGGAATATACTCCTCAGGTCGTGGCTCCACCGGTATTTTGTCGTCGGCCGGCCGTGATAAAGAAGCGTTTTCTTTTTGAGGAACAGTTTTTGACATTTTCTCCATTTGGATTTGAAGTTTAAAATAGAAGGAGATGATAAAATTTGGTGCTCTAAGAAGAGGTTAGCAGTGAAAATCGCAGATTTGCAGATGAAGAACTCAGAAAATGCAAAAACGAACTTAGTAGATTTGGAGATTGGAAATTTGAAAGTAAAAAATAGTGAAGAGAGGAGCTATTTATAGATTTGGCAATGACGGTTCAAAATCAGCAGTGGCCGACCATCGTCTGACGCACATTTAATGCCTTGGTAACTGAACCGACGGGACATTTATCACGTACGTCATGATCGGGCTCGATGCAGACGTTAGTGTATATCTAGTCATATCGTTGAAAAATCATATCGTTTCTCGCCACATTCTTTCCGAGAAACGAGGGGACTATCTGAATACGGTCAAATCCGAGTTTGTCATTCGTGTAATGAGTCGAGATTGGAACGTGATGAACCGAGGGTCGTCATTGTAACATCTAGATAAGAAGTAAAGCCAGGTTATCGAGCTCAAGATTCAAGGACCGATCAATATCGAGCCTCAATCAATATCGAGCCCGAATCAATATCGAGCTCGAATCAATATCGAGCTATGATATGAAGTAGTGTTATCAAGTTCAAGAGCCAGAGACCGATCACTACCGAGCCCAAGTCAATATCGAGCTCCGAATCTAAGACTGATCAATACCGAGCCCGAATCAATATCGAACTTGGGATCCAGAGATCGACCAATACCAAGACCGACCAAGAACGAGCTAAGAGACAAAAAGCCATTGTAGCCGCACTAAGGGAGCGAATCTCGGCAAAAATTAAGAAAAAACTAATTAACTAATCTATCATGGGATACCCACTATGTATTTTTTTATTATATTCAAAATAGAATTTTTTCACTATATTTAGACTGAGTACAGATTGAACACCCAGAGAAGCATGCATTGATACACTCTCATATTCAGAAATTATTGAGATTTACACACATATAGTAAAGATTATTCTTTTTTGGATTTTGTATATTGGTTCATCTTGTTCATATAAATATCATTCCCCACTCATTTTCGGTTTACATTAATTCTCTTTTACAGTCAATATTCGATATATCTCTACTTATTTTTTCAATTTGCACCAAGTTATACCACGTATCCTTAGAACTACGAATAAATTCAACTTTATCCGTTTTTCGGGTAACCAATATCCATAAAGTGGCAACATCATTATTTTACTTTGCAAAAATAAGCAAATACCACTAACAGGGAACAACTTGAGAGGACAGAATCGTCCAAAAAAAAAGGAGGGGGG